TAATTAATTAATTAATTAATTAATTAATTAATTAATTAATTAATTAATTAATTAATTAATTAAATTGGTATTACAATTTACCAAGTCCATGGCGATATTATGTGTAATTTCCTACAAAGCGGAATCTTGGCAAAATGAGAACGTGTTACAGTGCGTTGACAGCCATATATCAGTTAAATTTAGTATGAAATCGAAGTGTTATTATGGTAGTATATACATAACGCCAACCGATCATCACCTAACAAAAATGTCCTTCACTGTGACTATGATTGAATGCCTAGAAAGATTACGACAGCCTCACGATATGTTTTCCGGTATATTCAGCATAATTACAATTAATGATGTTAAATTATCACTTGTTTATTTTCCGTTTAAACCCCAGCGACATTTAAATACATGGATTGCGTAATTACAACCACTCAATATAATTATTATTGATATCAAGATTTTAATATCGATTTTAATTTTTAAAGAGTTCGCATGTGCATATAAGCTCAGATCGAATCACTGCAAGCTGTGGTCGATTTCTCATAATTTCAAAATGCTTTCGACCACGTGATATTTGTGAAATATGGTCTGATGTATTTGTTCGTTTCACCTTCTATATTTGTTATTCTAAATTATGTTATGCCGAAACCATGGCGATATATGACATCGGTACGAGGCATTGACAGGATAATATAAGACCAAATCATTACTGCCGCGTTTTTTTGTAAACGTACTAAAATAATATTTAATAATGGAGCGGTGATAGAGCGGCTGAAAGCTGGAACACTATATAACGATGATTTACATGTACTTTTGTGCTACATGCTCACATACGCAAGTGTCACCATGGCAACTAACCACAGCTTTAAAAACCATAGTGAAATAGCAGCTTTATTGAAATATAAAATGATTTGTTTGGCGAATATTCCATTCTATCAGTAATATATTACAAGTATTGGACCTGATCTATCCAAATGAAATATAAAAGGGAGAGATGGACAGTAGCTGAAAACGTAGCTTCATCGGCTAGTATTTTGACAATGACTTAAGTCTAGTAATAGTCGACAATAAGCCTTGCTAACCTCAATAAATTGCCTGTCAGCACCGAGTAATAGACGTGAACACAGAGTACAGAGCATATTATCATCGGATTTTGCTAAATAGTTTCTACTCGCGGTGTGTCGAACAAAAGAACTCCAGAAGTCAGTCAAGTTGAAAACATCATTCCATTGAAACCCCGTGAGAGGGGAATGCACTTATTATAATAAGTCTTTCCCACCATAAACATTCCTGTCAAGCATCCCAGCAACGGGGTACATTAGAAAGGATTAGAAAATTGCCAAAATTTAATTTTGCTAAAAATTTAACCTCCGAAAAATTACCAAGATCACTGGAATCAAAGTCGGCGTATGGTGCAGTGAGTTTGGAGATTCACTGTGAATGTCTTACCTTATCATACTTGGCTGTACTTCCAATTCAACGTTCAGATCACCAACCAATATATTGTGCTCATAATTATGATAGTGAGAAGAATATTCTAGTTCGGTCAGATTTTCGTCCAATTTTGCCAATTTTCCATACAAGTCTCGATACTGGACTGAGTCTCTTTTCACTCTCCTAATTTTGTCCATTAGTTCGTCTTTCTGCTCGTTCGCCTGTTGTATCCGAACAAGTATAGATTCCTTATTCGTCACCGTTTTTTCAAGATGTCCGGCCAGTTGTCCAACTCGCGCTTCGCGATTAATTAATCTCTCCAGGTCATCCTGGTGTACTTGTAAATCGTCCTCGTGCCGGTTAATGCTCCGAATAAGGTCGCGAAGACGTTCTTCCAATTCGTGAATCATGTCACTGATGTTTTCCGAGTCATTCGATATTGCTACTGAATTATTATCATCTTCTTCATCACCAGCCTCGTTTCCAGAGTCCATGTTGTCATGGTTACGAGGATCCTCAAGATCGACATACTTGTCAACCGATATTTGTCCCTCATCATCAAGCTTCGCGTTATCGTCTGCCGTGCCATTATCATTGACTCGCTTCTCCTTATATAACATATTGTTAATTTTCTCGGCGGAGACCAACCACCGTTTCGCTAGTTCAATTGCATTGTAGCTCTTCAGCAGCACATCCGGCACAAATCTGAATACGTGCTCGAAATGATTGTAATTGGCGAACGAAAGTAGTTCCTGTGAGCTTTCGTCGTCAAATAGATTGCCGTCCACTTCGTCATCGTCTAGAAGCATTTGCCATTGTTGATCTAAATCTTTTAATTCCGCCATTGCGAGAGACAGATTTTCACTTTCCTCTGCCAACTCATTGAAAGAAGGCACGCCGGGTAAATTTTGCGCCTGATTCAGTCTTCTCAGAATTTCGGCTTTTCGCCTAGAATGTTTTGCGTTCGTTCCCATGTCCCTTTTCACTGAAATAACGTCTTCCACGACGGGGTCGTAGTAAAATTCATAAAGCACAGAATAAATTCTTTCGTCAAAATGAGCTTTCATTTTTCTCAAATATTCAATGTCGTTCAAAAATGCCGTAAAATATTTCGCGACAGTGACCCCGTCACTGTACGAACCCGTCTTTCCCACATTTTCGACCAATTGTTTCAGTTCACCAAAAGAGGTCACCTTGGTATCAATGGGAACAAGATCTGTGAGCATACGATGCAGTTTATCTTTAGAAAACTTTGACATGCCATGCTGAACTAGCTTTTCAAATGTGCTGATCTGTTTATGCATTAGGGCATTTTGTTTCTGGCGGGAGGCTCCTCTCATTTCGTCGGGGTGAGTCTGAAAGAAAGAAGACCACATGCCTAAGTATACAAGGGTACTTGCAAATGACTACAAAGACAACGAAAGCCGTGTTCTCGCACCATTTAGCAAATACAACTCCAGTCTTATGGTGTTAGACCCATGTCAGGCGAGACCATTAACATGCATGTCTCACATCGTATCCCACAACGGATTGAGCCTTCCATTATCGCGGCGATATTGGGCGAGGTTTTTAAACCTTCTAGAATAAAGACAACGGGTAAAACATCCATTGAGGATTAAGTGCGAGGGCATAGAGGGCACGCTACTGGGATCAGCGAGCCACAGACCCCAGGCTGCGATTAAATAAACGTAACTACACTGGAAGTAAATAATAAAAAAAGTATTCTTTTACGTTATCGTTTCAAGAGTTTCAATTAAACGTAAATACAGCAACGACGACCTTGAACGGCGCTTATGTGCGGCGGAGATTGTTGAATCTGTATAGTGTAGCCTTACGCTTTGAGCTATAAAGCTATATCGCAGTAAGGCAATATCGTTATGTGAAATGCTATGACAGCGTGTTTGCCTGACCATTCATGCGAAATTTAGCATTTCCTACATACTTCCTACATGCTTGAAATTAATTTACACTAATCAGCTACACAAGCACGAACACTGGCGTACTCCCTGACGTCCAGTTACTGAAAACAAAGGCCAAATGATGTGTAATATACGACCAAAGGTATACAAACGCAGGAACAACACATTGATTTCACGACAACACATTAGACGATAATTACTGTTATTGATCTTACCACCCTGGCCTCTTTTAAAAGCGAGGACAAAATCGGTGAAAACGAACGTGCTGGCCTCACGAAGTTCCTTTTGCTAGCCATCCTGAATCTCTTGCTGCTGATTATAGTTTCTACTGTATTAGCTGTCTACGTCCATTGCAATCTAGGAGCGATGTTGTTGACTATGTTTGTTCGAACGCCAGCTCGTCACGCCTCGTAGCCTCTCTATGGGCTCGCGCATGTAAATTGATTGGCGAATCTACACTATCAGCACAACAAAACCACCCCGCTGCTATGGCGACACTAATAGTCAGCGGCTGTTTGTTACCATGACAACGTCACAGTACGGAGTACAGAGTATATAGAGAACACAATATAATTATTAAATTCTGACTCCCCAATACAAACCGCAATCGGGTATTGGGCACATACAATAAAAAAACGTACTATCACATACCCATTTGTTTTAAGTTTACGTGTTCGAACAAGAAATACTATGCATCTGTTTGAGAATTCTTTGTTGTATTTGATTAGAACACGTTTTTATTCGTTGATTGTATCTTTCAAAAACAGAGACAGATTCCCCCGGAATATAACAACTGATTCATTCATTACAATTTGGTTTGAACTGATCTGAATCGCTGCTGAGTGACGACATAAGCGCAGTATTGTACGGTGCATTACTGGTCAAGTGGACAATGTCGGCCCTGGATAAACTATTACGTAGCTGTTGTCGTAAACAGAATTCACTCAATTGGAAAATGTCAGAAATTGCTGAATTGAACCAGCAGCAAAGGGTCAGGGTCATTCACTATAATTTGGCCGGAGTGGGCGATTTTGACAAAAATACTTACAGGTAAAATAACAGAAAAAATATTTATAAAAATAAGCTCACATATTTAATACAGAAAAGCAAACATTACTGAACAGTCTGAGCAATGTCCCAGGAGAAAACGAACTAGTTATATAAGTTAAGGAAAGCATAATTTGCAATAGTATCTTTCGACATGACGAGAAGAATTTATCAAAAGAATAATACGGGGTTGCTGTACAATAACATTGGTCTTTATTGTAAAATTCCCGGGAGGGAACGTATCAATGAATATATTCAATGTAATTCGCCATTCCATAGGTTAGACACAGGAAGAGAAGCCGCTGGATACATCGATGCCATTGCTAATAGCAAATCGACAGGCTAATTAACTGGAGACTCCATGATCACTTCTCAATTTCTGGTTAGTTGATTTTAATCGGAGGTTTCCTGACTCCAACGAAAACGTTTCAGAATAACCTGCCTGATTCCAATGTGAAGTCAGCTGTATACAATTGGGACATTACAGTGGTCGGTGGCACGTGAAAGTAATTCATCATTTTTATCAATAAAACACGACTACATGTTTTATGAGTTAACACCACGCATGACTACAGTGGGAGGGCGGTCTCGCAATGACGGGGTGATCCGATTTCCAATTAAGGTAGGGGTTTAAGCTATATATACTAACGACAATGTATTCACTCAATAGCATTATGGATTGAAGAAACAACGTAAAGTATATGTGAAAAATTTTCGTTCGATATTGCATCTTTATAAAAAAAACACACCGAAGAACGAATACTGGTCCTGCTTTGTGTGCGGCCAAAACTTGTTTTTTTTTTTATGTGTGTGTGTGTGTGTGTGTGTGTGTGTGTGTGTGTGTGTGTGTGTGTGTGTGTGTGTGTGTGTGTGTGTGTGTGTGTGTGTGTGTGTGTGTGTGTGTGTGTGTTCTCAATAAAATATAATTTTATTTGAGTGTATAAATGGCGAATGCCAGGATACCGCAAAAACTGGCTAAACCACGAAACAAGAAAGAATATGTGTTTCGCGGTAACCAGGGTTTTGGCATTTATACGCTCATATAATATTTTATTGAAAAATAACACCAAAAATTAACCAGGAGATTGTATGCGAGCCACCAAATCATTCCTATTATATAAGAAATTATTTAAACATGCCCAAATACACTCAAAGTTATACACACTGCTACTTTTAGCCACATCATAGAGTACAAGGATATATGAGCGCTATTACTTTTTTTTTATCTGAATTCGTGATGAAATGTTGATTCTCGTATTTTTTAATTATCCATTAAACACCACCGACAGCTCGAGAATGGTGAATAATGTAATTCATAAACACGGCGTTTCCCTGCCCTTCCTTTATGCTGACACATACATCAATGTCACCGTGACCTTTAAATCAATATAATGACGTGAATGTGTAGTGTGGTTTATGATTTCCTGACCAGTAGCTTAGGTAATTTATCACCTCGATATATCACCACTGTTGTATTATGCCAGAGAGTGGAGGTGGCATGTTCCTATTTCAGATATATTGATTGGTTATTTTGTACCAATGCATATTTTTTAGCGTTTACACTAGATGAGTCATGCACGCTATCCATATTAGGTGCAAATGCAAGCTTATTTGGGCAGCAAACTTGCACACATGCATACATACCGTGACGTAATAACATCTAGTACAGTCACAATAATGTGTGCATTTATATCTGCGCAACAAAACTCGGATGCTGATCGCCAACCGATAATGCAATTACCATCAATCATTTAGTTCTGGTATTATTCCACTAAAGCAGTAAATGAAGCTGAACAGTATGCCCAGGATCCGTTGCCTGGGAACGTGTGCCCTGCTCTCATCGATTTAAATATTATGCAGTAGCACACTCGAGGGCGCTCTTTAAAAAAAATGCTCGAAAAAACAACAGCGTTTTCGTTTTTCGTGAAGTAAAAACTGGACGTCACGATACCGTGATCCGTACATTTGTTTCTTAAGCGATACACTGTGACTAATAAACTGAAAACCAATGTTATTCTGAATGATGAGACACCACTAGTATATTTTCTATTTTTATACTTAGTATACATACATTGTGCAGAGAAAAAAATGTGTGTTTTAGCCAAGTCAAACCCGGAGTTGAAATCGACTAGAGTTGTCATAGCTTTCCAGCGGTGTATGGTGGTATTTATTGGTTTCTTTCGACACAGTTACTTGAAAAGACTGGATTATGCTCGAAACAAAACGAGTTCACTATCCATGTTGGTTTGGGAATCCATTCTGCATGAGTGGCTTCCAGCGAGTGTTTACAGACATGTAGACAATGTTTGTTGTCCATATAGACAACTCAGTGTGTCATTCAGGCACGCCCGACCCGAGTAAACATCAAAAGAATCGGTTCACTTCTATGGCGATTGTATAACGCCATTGTCACAACGCAGCTAAATAAGTCAAATAATAAATCAAGTCGACAAACGTTAAAACATGTGTACATCGTGACACTGCGTTGATGCACGCTTTTGAAAACAGACTTGAACAAGTCCAGATTCATTGTCATTCATACAAAAAACTGTGCATTAACTTGGTTGAATTGGCATTGAATATAATAGCCGTTACAATTGCTTTAACACGAGAATGACGGGAGGGGAGAGTGGAAAGTGACCAAAATGGGAAGATATATAGGCACTCTGAAATATAGGCACTTTTAAAATAATTCAATGAGTATGTTGCCACTTAGACTGGC